GACCGCTTCGTTTCCCCGGCGGCGGACGTACCGCTGCTGGCCGCAGCAGCGCCGCGTACGGAGCCTCCGCTGCGTGCCCAGCGCCTCGCTCGCGCGCCTCACGCTGGGCTGCACCGAGCGGCTGAGCGCCCTGCCCGGAGTCACCCTGCGGGGACGGTGGGCGCGCCCCTTCCTCGCCTCCCATCCTTCTCCCAGCCCGGCGCGCAGGGATTTCCCTGTGGTTCCGGGTTGCGGATTGCCGCAGAGTGGGTGTCAGGGATCCCTTTAAAACTGGATGCAACATGGTTTGCGAGATTCCTGGGAGAGGGTCTTCCCACGGCTTTTGTCCGACTCCCGGAAGGTCTCCGGCCCCTGAGCGTTCAACAGCCAGGGTTTGGCCCTGTGTGGGAGCGGAGGTGGCCTGGGAGCGACTGGTGTGCGCTAGGGGTGGGGTGTCAGGCCGAATGAAGTGGATTCTGGGAGTCCAATGCTTGCCTTAGGCAAATCAAACTTAAAAAAAAAGTTTTGAATCTTGTTGAAGCACGTGATTCTACTTTTGGAACAGTGATTGTCAATCTCAGAATCAGGGACCCTCTCCTTCGTGGCAAACGTGTGTCCAAGCCAACTTTGCTACCCTGAAGTGAAATTCATAAATAATGTAATCTACCTACATATATAATTGGAATCAGTATGATGGCTTCATTTAAATGTAAGGGAGAAATAAAGGGAGAACAATATGTGCCGTGCATTGCTACATCATTTGTATCTAACACATATTGGTGTGCTAGAAGACAGCACGTACTATGGTGCTTGTACCTGTTTTTAATAAATAACATTTAGATTGGTATTATCAGGAGCTATTTCAAACAAGAAGGCTAAAGAGCGGAGATAAAGGCGGACTCTAGAAAAAAAACACCTAGTATTTTGGAGTAATCTATGCTTATAAAAAGAAGAAACAACTTAGATTTAACTAGGGATAACATACCAAGATAAATTATAGACTTCCTCAGTCAACACATAAATAACATGACCCTCCATGGATGCTTTACTGTCACCCTCTTGTAGCACCTTTTGTCTCACAGACTTGAAGATACTGCAACTTCAAAAGACTATACCAGGTTCCTACTGTTTATCGTTAGTAATAATGAATAAAATGTAGGGGCTGGGGATTTAGCTCAGCGGCCCAGCACCTGCCTGGCAAGCGCTAGGTCGTAAGTTTGATTCCCGGTCCCGGAAAAAAACCACTACCAACAACAAAAATAATGAATAAAATGTTAAAATTGAATTTTTTTTGATTCAGTACCAATATCTCACTAGTATGACAGATGCTACCTCACACTATTAGTATATATGCTAATACTGTATATGCTCAGTATTATGATACTGCAGTTTATATTGAGTTAACAGTGTGTGGTGTGAAGAAAAGAGCATTAATTTTTAGAAAGTTTCCCTATTTGCTTGAAGATTCACTACTTTCTCCTGCATAACAGGGCAAAAGGGGGATGGTTTCCCCCCATCTTGTAAAAACTTTTCAGTATTTTATTCATAAGTAATGCTAATTTATAGTGGATTTAATCCTTCCAGACATTCAAAAGACTCTTTGGGCCAGGGTAAATCTTGATTATACAGATCCATTCCACCCATTCCACCCATGCATTGTGTGAGGTCTAGATCCTGGCCCCCAAATACTAAAAGCTAACGGGTCCCGCAGTCTTTTTAGTAACTAGCGGTGTTCCTAGGGGCAGCTCTGCCCCCTTGAGAACCACTGTAAAGCACAATCTCCATTAGGCGGCAGAATTTAACTCAAGTTTTGTTGGAAAAACATTTTAAAAACTTCTTTCTGAAGTGTAATTTAAAAGACACGCTCTTGGTTAGTGACATTTGCATTTTTCTAGACTTTCAGGAGGCAAGGTTAGTACCAATCCATCTGAAATTTTTCTGTGTTTAATGAGAATTTTTGTTAGAAATATTGAACAATTGCTCAGCGATATATATACAGTAAGGGAAAAGTCTTCAGTTAAAGTTTAAATCAGGGCTGGGGATTTAGCTCAGCGGCAAAAGCGCCTGCCTGGCAAGTGCAAGGTCGTGAGTTCGGTTCCCGGTACCGGAGAAAAACAAAAACAAAAAAAAAAAAAAAAGTTTAAATCAGTGTAACCCTTTTTTTTTGTAGTGGAGGTCAAACCTAGGGGCGCTGTGCCTTTTCACTTTACTGATGCAGTATAATTCAATAAGTGAATTGGAAAGTGGAGATGTGCTCAAAGGTGAAAACTAAGATTTCCTATGGTCACATATACTAATCATTATGGTATGATTTGTTACACATTATGTTTTCATTTTGAAACTGCTTTTGCGTCTTAGTGAAAATTTCAAATTAAGTTCATCCTATTTTATAGCTATAGTGCAACATACATTTCTTCAACTTGTTTAAAAAGGAAGTTTATTTTGTCTTTTAAAAAATAAATTACACTTTTTGCTGTAAGATTTTTTGTAGCTTGTTACTTTTGAAGGGGGCTATGAAAATTAAGTACTAAAGATTTGTCAAAATAGAATACACTTTAAATTGTCTAGAGATAGATACTGAATCTGACTTGGAAAGTCATCCAAATTGAAAGTAATTTTTATTATTTTGAGCAAGCATTATCATGTTGCAGGGTAACAAAAGCCAGTATTGCCATCCATCTAAAGTAGAATTCTTTACCCAGAATACTCTTACAGAGATCTTTCTCCTCATGTAAAAAGAACAAAAAGTCAAAGTTTGTGAATATAACTCCTGCCTTTTTTGAAAAGGTTTAAAAGGAAGCAGATTGCTTGATGCTTTTTCATGGAGAGTAGATAAGTGTGGTTAATGTATTTGAGGTAAAGTTACTCCAGAAATATAAACAAGTATATATATATATATATATATATATGTATGTATATATATGAGGTTTTTTGTTTGCTTATTTTATTTTGTTTTTCCATTCTGAAGGTTTGTAGGTCCACTTAGAAATGCAAGTTTTCTCATGCAGGGGATCTTAAAATTGAATTTCAGTGATTCATTGTTCTCAGTGCTTTATACCCTGTGTATGCAGTTTATATGGTAAAGTAGCACCATGGTATTTCTGTATAAGAAGTTTTTTTATCTTATACTAAGGACAGGTTTCCTAGGAAACGCAACCAAATGAAGACTGTTAGCGTACCTTTTTTGCCAGGTGGACTTCAACTGTACTTATCAAAGTGTGGTCCCAGGACAAAAAAGGATTAAGATGTGTTATGCACATGTACAAATTCCCCACAATAAATTAAATCACTGTGTACTACAATATGCTAATATGCTAATAAAAATACATAATTAATTAAAAAACAAAGTGTGGTCCCAGTCTAGCAGCTTATCAAAAGATTCCTGGAGCTTGTTTGAAATGCAACCTGGTGATGCATGTGAACCTTTGAGAAGCACCAAGCTCTCAGACTTAAGTGTGAATTATCAGATTGCTAGTCTACTACACCAGAGTTTCTGGTTAGGTATTCTGGGCTAGAGCCTGAGAATTTGCATTTTAACAAGTTACCAGGTGATATTGATGATGCTGCTCCAGGAACCACACTTTGACAACAATTAGACAAAGTGTCCTTCTCATTGTATCTTTCTTTGTCTTCTGATTCCTACCTGCTTCAAGTAGCTTTTAAAACAATATTGTTATAGTCGTATGCAGTAAGTAACTTGTCTGTATTGCCCCTTGGGACTCAGTGGAAGATATAGGTTTTAGTAATGACCACAGTAAAAGTGGTTTTTAGTACCTAACTTCAGAAAAATGTTTCCTTTAAATGCTTAGTAGATTTTAACTGATTTATAAGTAGTTCACTTTCTCTTTTTTCTGTGGATACTTTTTTAACATTTAAAAATTCTTTTTATATATAAAATGTCTGTATGATTCAAAAACTAAAATTATACAAGTTATATTTTAGGAAGTCTGATTTCCAACGGTCTTGGGCCCAACCATTCTCATAGGTGTCCATTGTTTCTTTGTGTAGGTACAAGCCGATGCCATTTTATTATATATACTCCTTTTATATAAAATATCATATACTATGTAACTTACTCTGGCCCCTTGCTTTTTAAAAAAGTTTCATGCTCTTGAGATCTTTTCATATTAGCGTATATGAAGTATACAGTATTAGTTTATAGAAAACATCTTTTAAACAGACCATATTTATTTAACCAACCCCTGCTTGTGCATATTTGCATTGTTGCCAGTCTTGTACAATCACAGAGCACACTGCGGTGAAAAACTTTGCATATGTATCTTGTCATCCATGTGCAGGTTTATCTGTATTGCACTCCCAGAAGTTAGATTGCTGGTCAGTCGGTTGTTGCATTTATAATTTTGACAGTCACTTTCCTTCTTCAGTATTGCAACATTTTGGACTCCCACAAGTATGTGGGAGTCCCTCAGCATCCATGGAGAATTGGTTCCAGGACTCCTTTGTAGACACCAAAATTCAAAGGTGCTTAAGATTTTTATGTAAAAATGGCATAATATTTGCACATAACCTGTGCACATTTTTCCACAGTGTAAATGCTGTGTAAATAGTTATACTATATTCTTTTGGGAATAATGACAAGAAAAAAAATTTATACAGACACAATTTTTTAAAAAATTATTTCAGGTGGTGGTTGGTTGACATTAAAGATAGGGAGAACTGACTGTAGTGTATGAGAGTACCTGTGTCTCCAGAGCCTTTTCAACAAGCTGTATTTACCAGCCATTGTCAATTTGTAATAATCAGAGAGGTGAGAAATGTCACCCTAGTGTTCTTTAAATATACATGGCTTTCATGTGAATGAGGCTTGCATGTCTTTTCATATGTGAAAAGACCAGTTGTATTTGTTTTACTATTAGCTGTGTAGTTTATACAGTTTTCTTTTGGTTTATTTTTTTCTTGCCAACTTTTAGAAATTAATAAATTGGAGAGATTAGTCTTTTGTGATGTAAGTTACAGTTCCCCCCAGTTTGTCACTTATTTTTCATTTATCTTCATGTGTTTAACTATACAGAAGACTTAATTTTTTTCTTTAAATTTTACATATTAATCTTTTACGGTTTCTGGATTTTGAGTCACTGAAAGGCCTTCCATGATTTTTGGCATATGCCCATGGTTTTGTTTTTCTCTTTTCTTTTTATATCTGGTTTATTTCACTTAAATCGTTTTCATTCACTTGTATATGGATATCTAGGGTTTTTTAAAAATTAGTACATATATGCAGTACATAATGAATTTACAGTGAATGTAAATTCATTGTGAGGCATTGATACATGTATGTTGTCATGTTTTCTTGTAGTGCATTAATGACTTCAGTTTTGCACTTACATCTTTGATCCATTTAGAATTTATTCTGGTGTTCAGAATGATGTGTAGATTTGATTTTTTCCATTTGGTTACTGGTTATTTTTACATATGTGTTTTAGAACCTATCTTTTTTTTTTTTCTTTTTTGAGACAGAGTCTTGCTATGTAGTTCAGCCTCGTCTTGAACTCACTATGGAGCCTCAAACTTGCAGCAGTCCTCCTGCCTCAGCTTTCCAAGTGCTGAAATTACAGGTGTGGGCCACCATGCCTGGCTGAGCCCATCTTTGAGTAGACTTACATTGTATGTATTGCAAACTTCCGGATATATTGGAATGCATCTCTGGACTTCATTTTCTGTTTCACTAGTTGTTCTAGTCATATTCCAGTGCCACATTATTGGTTTTATAAAATGTTTTAATATCTTTTTAAATTAATTTCCCTTGTTCTTCATTTTCTTGGCAATTCTTGCTTATTTTTTCCATATGAATTTTAGAACAATTTTGTCCAGCTCCGGTGGGAAAAAACTAACAAAATCAGGATTATAGTAAATGTATATACTTAAAATCTATGTCTTTTCCCCAAGCCTCAGTCTCCTAATCTATAAAAAGAATAATGCTGTCTGTTTAAGAAGGTTGGGAGGGGGGCTGGGGATTTAGCTCAGCGGCACAGCGCCTGCCTGGCAAGTGCGAGGTCGTGAGTTCAATTTCCGGTACTGGAAAAAAAAAACAAAAAAAATGAGGTACTATTTTCTTTTTCCTTCTCCTTACCCTCTCACTTTTAAGGGAGGGAAAAATGCAGTGAAGAAAAACAATAAAAAAGATATTAGAATTAAAGTTAAAACTAAGCTTTTACTTTGAGCAGGATAATCAATGTATTTAGGTACAAAGGACAAACTCAGCCTGATGCACAAGGCTCCTCCTCCTTTCTGGTTTGCTACTTGTTCCTTTCTTGGATGAACTCTAATGAGGCTACTTAGCATGCCTCAGAGGGGCTGTGTTTTCCCGTGGCACCATCCCTTTCATCTAGAATGTTGTGCATCCTAATTCTGCCAGTTAAGTACTACCCCAAGCCCAATAAAAATTAGTACCGTATCTGTTGCAGTAAGTAACTTGTCTGTATTACCCCGTGGGCCTCAGTAGGCTATGAACTGTGAAGAGAAAAATTTGTCTGTCCTGCACAGTAAAGAATGCCCTGTACCCAGCACCTGACAGAGAATGCAAATTCAGATGTTTGCTAAACAAGTGAATGAAGAATTGACTTTGTCTTTTTTTTTTTTTTTTTTTGCCTTATATATCTCATCTCAGCCATTACACTGTCGACTCCTGGAAGAAATGCATGTGCCTCTTTCCAATATTAATAATAATAAGCATAGTTAATAGTGGGTAGATATGGTAAGAGGTAGACCTTTTTTTATTGTATTAGATGCTATAATAAGAAAAACATTTATTATGTTCCGGGAACTATTAAAGAGTCACTTATGTGGATTGTCTCATGTAATCATCAGCAATTCTTGAGTGGTATTACTATTGTATATATGGGAGACAGGCCATTGGAGGTGAGGTGACTTGCCCATTTGTCAGACCAGTGGGAAGTGGTTGTCCTGAGATTCAAGTGGAGGTGCTCTTGAGTTCCATATCGTGCTCTCAAAACCTGCTATGGTGCTATAGGAATGTTTACTGAATAAAGTCCCAGGACAGTTTAGGAAAGGTTTTAATTACATTTTAAACTTTTTACTTCCCAACCATCCCTGTTTTAGCAATTTCTGTTTTGTTCTTTCTGATTTATCTCCACTTTTATGTTCTCCAGAAGGCTATCTCTGACCATCCTTACTGGCATGAGGTAGGTGTTCAATGAAAAGTAATTTCTACTTTTTTCCCATAGGTTCATAATAACGGTGCTAAGCAAGAGAATGTAAGAGGGGAAAAGAACTAAATATTTTTACTGAGGTAAGTTTTTTTGTAATTTAATTTTTTCATTTTCTCTAAAAACCATTCTTTGTAGCATGCTTTCTGAAGGTGTGAAAGGGAGATTGTTTTAGGAGTTTTTAGTTCATAGATCTTACAGGTTATAAGGTGCCTGGCAGGAATATGGACTGTTTGCTAAGGTCATTTGGCTTTTCTTACCCTTTTGAATTTAATCTTTAAATTTGCATTATCTTATTGTTTTAGAGCATGTACTGACAAAGAGATTCAGCAGGTAAAAACAAACCCATTGGATTTGAAAAGATTTAAAGCGATTTTAGTAAAATAGTAGTACTTCTTTTCCTCAAGTAAAAATGTGTTGGTTTTTATTATAATGAGAAAAATTTCCATCAGTATAGAAAAACATACTGACAAAAGTAAGCATTTAGCTCCTGCTACCAAGAAATGGCCACCATTAATATTTTGATGAACATAATTTTGAGTATTTGCCAGTAAATATAAAAGTATTTGTATTTAAGATTTTAAATGAATGGTGGTCTTTATATAAAACTATACGATCTTTTTAATGTGTTTTGCACATCTGTGTATGTAAATTAGAAAAGACACACATAATCTTACAGGACAGTTTTATTGGCTATATACCATTGTTTGGAGAGACCATATTTTATTTAACCATTCCTTTGATGACTATTTAGGTTCTTAATTGTTTGTCTTCTTGTGGATAATGTTGTGTTAATTATTGAATACTCATTCATTTATCCTCTTAGAGGTATAACTGCCGAGTCAATGATCACACATTTTAAGTGTTGATAAATATGGCCTCTTTAACTGTAAAGATTACCCCCAAAGTACAGGAGCATTGTTTTTTTGTATCTCATTGCTCATACTGAATTTTGTTAATTTTTTAAATCTGCCAATCCAGTGGCAAAAAATAGTATCTTTTTAAGATAGCAATTTTTTTTAATTAAACCTTTTATGTTTTCAAAGACCTGTTTCATTTGATATTCTTACTAAAATGAAGAATTTGCTTATTGAAAATGTATCTGTGATTCTTGTGTGTGAGACACCCTTGGGCTTTAAATGGAATGAAAACATTAAAATACATTGAATTACTTGTTTTTAGGTCTTTTATCTTGATTAATTCATTACAAATGCTTAAAAATTGTTGATGAACCAGCTATAATTGTTTTGAGTACACAGTTTTCCTCTGTAAAGAGCAATACTTTTGTCTTTTATTCACTTAAGCTTTAAAAAGAATTTTCTTAACATCTTTTAAACGTGGATACCAGCTGCTAAATAGCATACAGTGTGGTTTTCATATGTATTATCAAGTTGTATGAACTTTGTGAATATGCATTCATGTGTAAATATGTGTGTATTTTATGTTGAATCTCTTCTGTTCAAAGGATTTTATGACTTTCTGATGTGAATGTGATCTTCAATTTTATGTTGGCTTTAGATTTTATTTCAGTCAAATAAGAGTTACACAAGGAAGATTTCATGTGATGCAGACATCTACATTGTCATTGACTTACTGTTTGTTCTTTGACTCAATAAAAAGCCAATTAAAATTCACCTTTTTCCTATATATAAAATGTATTGTCTTTTTTTTTTT